AGGCCGCAGAGCTGCACGATCTGATTACGGCGGTCTATTTCACGTTCCTCATCCCGTCAGACGCCAGCATCGCGGCCGCCATAAAAAAGGCGAGCCAAGATTATCTTTGTCTGGCCAAGTTGCTGAAGTCAAGAGGCGGTGGCGGCTACGATATCCTTGGGCCGCCTCATCTACACGTCTTCAAAACGCTCCTGCAGGCGGCGCACGAGGTACCGGGCCCCATGGGCCAGCATCGCGAGAGGACTGCAGAGATATGGGACAAGGTATTGAAGGAGGAGCTGTTCGCTCTGGCGCAGCAGACCCGCCATTACAGGATCGGCGACACCTACAAGAGGGAGAACGCCAGGGACATGATGAGGATCACGATTTGTTCGAGTCAGTGGAGAGATTTGGAGGTGACGGTGGTATCGGCCATCGCGAAGGAGAATGGCGAGTTGAAGATCGGCCTGTCTCCGTGAGAGCCACGGGAGAGGGGAGCATCCAAGCGCCCAGAAGAAGTGAACAACATGAGCTGAAGAAGAGAGAGCGCATGGGGTCTGAGGAGAGTGAGCTTAGGCGCCTTGCCTCACGTCTTGAAATTTTTTCTGTCCGCATGGCGGAACTCCTTTTAAGAGGGGTGATTTCCCCTGGTGCTGCACTTTCGTTTCTCCGTGCTCGCGAAGGCCGATTTAGGCCACCGAGCAATCATAAAAAAGGGAAGGGTCGGGGTACGGTGGGGGAGTCGGGGGGCGGGAGAAGCTCTGTGTGACTTGCGGCTTGTGCTATCAGGCCCACGGGTGGCCATCCACAGGCCGTGGCGCTTGCAGGCCTGTCTCGGGCCTCCCCGAGCAGTGCGCCTGCCGCCATCTCCAGTTGGCACTATTAGTGTGCCTCGCCGATGCCTTGATTTTGGGACTGAGAGACACTTGGCGTCAATGGCGGTCTTATCTTATCTTATCTTATCCTTCTCCTCCTCCTCCTCTTCGTGCCCCAGGGCCCTCGGGTCCGAGGAGGGCCCGGGGCGGCCGCGCGCGCCGCGGGCCGCGCCGCGCGCGCCCGCGCCCGCGCCCGCCGCCGCGGGGCCGGGCGCCCCCTCGCCCCCGGTCCGTCCGCCGCCGCCGCAGGAGCCGCCCCGCCGCCGCCCCCGGCCGCCGCCGCCGCCGCCCGCTCCTGCCGCTCCTCCTCGGCGCTCCTCCTCGGCGTTCCTCCTCCTTGGCCTCGCCGCTCCTCCTCGGCGCGCCTCCTCGGCGCCCCTTCCCTCCTCGTGCAAGTGCCGTCCTCGCGCCGGTGCTGTCCTCGTGCTCGCGCTGTCCTCGTGCTAGTGCTGTCCTCGCGCTGTCCTCGTGCTAGCGCTGTCCTCGTGCGTCCTCCTGGCTGTCCTCGCGCTGGCGCCGTCGTCGCGCTAGGCCGCCGGTTCCAGGCCCAGGGGTCTGAGCCACCAGACCCCTGCGTCAGGCGCGCTGGCTGGCCCGACGGCCATCTCAGGCAGCGCTGATGAGCGTATGCGCCACCTCCCGGACCACGCAGGTGGCGATGGGCCGGTGGAGAGTGCTGAGAGTCTCCAGTCGCCCAGGGCCCTCAGGCACTTGCTGCGCGAGCCATTTCCGGGTGGACTCGCCCAATGGCTCCCGACACTTCGAAGCCGAGGGGCTGAAAACCAGCGACTCCGTTGTATTTGCGGCGCTTGGCCTGTTCGGCCAGTCTCGCAGCGGCGCCTTGGGTGTGGGCCCCTCCGGCCTGCAGGCTCTGCTGCGAGGCGGGATGCACGATCGTTAAGTGAAGATAAGCCCACTGGCCGTCACTGTCGGTGCACCTGAGGTCCGCGCGGAGACCCGGATTGCCCGGCCCGGTGGGCGGGCGAATCCATGGCGCAGTACTGCGATGTCGCAAATGCCGGCTTCACGTAGGGCTCGCGCGATGGCGTCGCGCAGGTTGTTGTGCCTCTTAACCATGAAGCCGCCATGGGAGCAGCAAAGCGCGTGGCGTCCGTTAGTGTCGACGGTGCCGGCGCAGAGGGTTCCGTTCTCCTTTCTGAAGGGACAGGGGTCGTCAGCTGCGCGTGCGAGACCTCCGAGTCTGTGTCTCGCGGCCATCCTGAAGTGGGAGTCAACGAGGTGGTGGTCGGGCCGCGTGGGCGGCCCGAGCCGCGCGCCTGCCCCCTTGCCTGTCGTGCTAAGAGCCCAGGCCCGTCGATGCGGTTCCGTCTGGGTGCGTCGCAGCCACTGCGTCCACTCTGCGTGCCGCCTGTGCCTGGTAAAGCGCCGCTGGGTGGTGTCGGGCGGCTCCGTGTCGGGCGCCTGCTGTGCTGCCTCTTCCTGTGCCAGCGCGTTGACAGTGCTCTGGAGGCGGTGGAGCGCCGGCCTCACGCCCGGGCAGCAGTGGAGAAGGTCATCTCTGTCGCGGAGGCCCAGTCGCTGGAGCACCGGCTTCTCGCAGAGTGCCCTCGAGGCCGCCTGGGCATCCAGGCGCGCTGCGCTCACGCTCTGGAATCCCAAGCCGCCCAAAGCGACAGGGTGCCAGTATTTCTCCTTCTGCTCCGCTGTGAGGTCGTGTGTTTGCACTAGCTCCTCCAGTGTACTGAGTAGGTCGGCGTCGGGAACCCCGGTGGTGCGCATGTGCCACGTCATGTCTCCTGCAGTGAGGGTTCGTAGTAGTGCCAAAGACGTCTGAACGTCTAGGCCGGCTTTGTGATGGTCCATGAGTCTGGCCATGGCAGTCGTCCTCCTGGTTCGTTGGCGTTGTAGTCGCGGCGAGGCGGGTGAGTGCAGGCTGCCCTCCTCGGCGTGCTGGTCGGCGGTTACCGGCGTCGGTGCCAGGCCGGAGTAGTCGTCGGCGTGTTGTCGTAAAATCGTGGGCTGCTCTACTCGCGGCACGGGCGGGCCCGCTGGCATCGCGGCAGGATTCCTCGCCCACACCTCACATTTGTCAACGCGTGTTTGGAGGCCGGCTTGGCTCAGTGCGTTGGTGTAGGCTGCGCACCTGGTGGGCAGGTCTTCAGGCTTCGCAAGGATGGTGAGGTCGTCGATGTAGCCGAAAAGCTCGTGCTGTATACCTGCTGCGTCGAGTTGGTGTTTGGCCCTCTCGAGGGCTCGGTCGAGTCCGAGGCAGAAGAGCGTGGTGGCCATGCCGCACCCCTGGAAGATACCCGTCGTTTGGTTCCAAATGTGTCTTCTGCCCCCGGCGTCGTGGTAGACTATCTGCCCGGCGTCCGGCAGGAAGCCTCTTGTCCATCGGCGGAGCTTTCGGCAGTGAGCATCGATACCTTCGTTGATGTACAACGTGCTCAGGTTCTGGAAGGCGTCTGCAGCGTCCAGAGAGAGCACGGCGTAGTCCGGGCGGACGTGGAGGGCAATATACACGCGCTTGTGGACCAGTTCCGCCCCAGCCGTGTGTTTGTACCCGTTCTGCTTGCCGCGAAGCCCCTCGGCGACCTCGTCCGCCGCCATTTTGTTGACCGCCTTGGATGCGAGACGGCGGAGTGGGCTGGCGAGGTTGATGGGGCGGATTCGGGCGGGGCTATTGGTGAGCGGGAGGAGGCGGGCGGCCGTCGCCAGTTCCTGCACTTCCTGCGGGAGGGTGCCGCGGGCTAGTGATGCGGCCACTGTGGCCAGGGCACACAGAGCGGACAGGTCAGTTTGGACGAGTTGGAAGTGCTCGTACCGCCACCCGTCGGGCCCAGCTGCGTTTCGTTTTGGTGCGGCCCGCAAGGCTTTGGCGAAGTGTAGCTTGAACTGTTGCTGCTCGTCGTCCTGTTCGTCGTAGGCTGCTGGTGGCTGTGGTTGATGGTGTGGGAAGAGCTGCGGTGCGGCTTGAAGGGTCAACTGGTCTCCGGCAATTTCGAGTGCTTCGCGGAGGACTCTCGTAGCTTTGCCCACGGCGCCTACCTCCACGAGTTTGCGCGCCGTCATGACGTCGTGCTCTGCGGTAGTCTTCCGCTTGGCGCGCAAAGGAGGTGGGGCGGAGTCAAGGACGGCGCCCCAAAGCTGTGTTCGCGGTGCTCCCTGATCTCCGTGGCCCGGCGGAACAGCGTAGTGGTGAGCTGAGCGTTGCCTCTCTTGCCGCCTCGGAGGCTGGCGTGCCCGAGCAGCAGCTTAGGGAGCATGAACCAACGCTTGGCCGCCTTGGTGATGGACTCCAGGGTGCCGTGATGGATCTCGTGGGCGAAAGCCTTCGTGTGCTCCGTTATGATGGCGCCCACCACCCCGCGAGCGTGCGGCGGTATATGGGCGGCCGTGGGCACTGGTTGTTGGACCATTTCTGGCGTGATGGCGTCCGCCCATTCGGCGTTGGTGTCGCTGCTGGCGTGCCTGGCCGTGTCGAGTTGGAGTTGCGCGTCGGCAGGCGCACGCGGCGCCGGCGCGGTGACGACGGCAGCCCATTTGTGTTCAACTTCTCGTTTGAGTGCAAAAGGTAGGTCGTCGGCCAGTTCCAGGGCAGCGTTGCTGGTCTGCTCCTCCTCTTCCTCCTCATCCTCCTCCTCCTCCTCCTCCTGCTCCTCCTCCTTCTCCTCCTCCTCCTCCGCTTCCTCCCCCACTCCTAGCCCTTTCGATCAGGGTCGGCGGCACCGGCCGTCAGGCCTCTCCAATCGGGCTCCACACTGAGCCGCATCGCTGATGCATCGCCGATGCGGAGAAGATCCTCCCGTCTACTCGGAGCCCACTTGGCAGGGCCTCCAAGCGTCCACGACAGCACGCAGCAGTCGTGACAGCCCTGTGGAAAAGTGCACACTCTCCCATTGGCGTGCGCAGCACCCCGCAGTTGCGGATAAGAGTGAGGGGGCGGCGGGGTCGTCGGCAGTTTGCGAGGCTCTGGGGAAGCCCGCTGCAGGCACCGATTGTTGAACACATTGCACCATAGCCCGCCTGCGCGGGGGGGCCCGCCGCCGCCCACCGTCGATCGATCCGAGGGAGAGGAGGAGGAGGAGGAGGAGGAGGAGGAGGAGGAGGAGGAGGAGGAGGAGGAGGAGGAGGAGGAGGGCGAAGCGATCGGGAAGCCCCCCCCCTGCACTCCCCCGTTCGGGCCTGCTCCTTCGCCTCGGCTACCTGTTCGGAGGTCTCCACTGCCTGCGCGTGGGGGCGGGGATTGAGGGGCGAGGCAGAGCGGGGAGGGGCAAGCTGGGCACGCTCGCGCCGTCTTCGACATCCCTATCCTTCCCTCCCCTCCCCTCCCACTGCGCGGATCTGTTCTATTTGCGGACGCGTGTCGTATAGCCGACCTGGAGCTCAGACAGAAAGACCCAATCGTGTTGTTCGCAACCGGAACAGGGGAACTGCGTACAGAGGAGGTGGAGGGTGAGCAAGAGGACAGGGATAATAATGATGAAGGAGGAGGACAAACAGCGGCAGCACCAGCAGCAACAGCAGCAGGAACTCGAGTGGGAGAAATGGGAGGAGCAGGAGGACCAGGGGAAGGCGGAGAGGATGAGGGGGGCAACAACGATGAAAAAAGACAACAATGGCCTGCGGTGGGGCGAAAGCGCCACTCTGAACGACGGTAGCAAAGCGCTGATCCGAAAATGTGAGGCCTACGTTGCAGCAGGAGCACTCTTCTGAATCACCGACAACAGTCGGACTGCCAAAAACAATGAGAACAACAGTCCGCGGAGAGGGCCGGACATCTTCCGGACATCTGCAGGGAAGAGAGGAGTACACCCTGCGAAATGCTTAAGAAATCATGGGTTCAGAAATTCATAGTCTCAGAAATGGAATAAAGCCCAGAACTTCTATTCAAATCTTAAGAATTACATTGAAACGTTAAGAATAATCGAGACTCTGGCCGAAGATGTAAGTTTTCTTAAGCATCGCCTAAGGTGTAGAAGGGGTCGAACGAGGGCGCTTTTTCGATATGTCCTCGGGCTACACGTCGGTCGGAAGAAGTAGGTAAAAACATAAAGTAGGAAGGCGGATATAGTAGATTGGGTCCAGGCCCCCCCCAGGGAGCAACAAAACACAGCAAAAGCACGTCGATTCTTGAAGCAGGAAGGCGCTTGAGGTAGATTGGGATCTGGGAATCCAAAAAATACCTACTTTCAACGACCGGCGTGTATATCCTCGGGTTATCGTCAGAAGAACAACTCCTGCACGAGAGCGGACGCGCGAGCGGCAGGGCCCGATGGGGGCCGGAAGGAGAGCGAAGGACGGGCCCCAGGAACCACAGGACAGACGAGCGGAGGGACACGACCGAAGAAAATGATGGGCTTGTTTTCCACCACCACCACCATAAGTTGGAGGGGGAGGGGGTCCTCCTCCTCCTCCTCCTTCTCCTCCTCGTCCTCCTCCTCCTCCTCCTTCTCCTCGTCCTCCACCTCCTTCCCCCCTCCAACTTCTGGTGGTGGTGGTGGTGGAAAACAGGCCCATCAGAAAAGGGGCACCGAAGCAGCGAGGGCCCGAAAGCACAGAGGGATGCTGGGAACGCCTCACAGGCGGCGGTTATAGATAAATCCCCGCCTCGGGAAGCAGTCTCGTTGGAAACCGAACGCTCGCAATGGTTATGCGAACCGCGACGTCACCGGACACGGAGTGGCCACAATCGCGCCACGAGTGGCGCAGACATCGGCCAAGCACGGCTGCTGACCCTCCGCCAGCGAATGCAACACTATCAACGATGAGCATTAATGTGTCCCGCTCCAAACATCCTTCGCACCCAAAGCCGATGTTGCAGAGCACGAGGTTCGAGCATCGACCACCAAACCCCACCTGCAGCGCCACCCGAGAACTAGGGCGCCTAACTTCGCGCTTCGCGCTGCGCGAATCGCGAAGCGCGCATACCTTCGCGCTCGCGCGCCGCCCCCCAGGAGAGAACGGGAGGATGAAGAATCGGAGCCGAACCGCGAAGCGCAACTAACCTCGCGCCCTCGAGGGCGTCATTGCAAACGCCCCCCCCTGCCCCAGTGCGCAGCGCGCGAGGTGCTCGCAGGGTGGAACCAGGAAGCTCCGCGGGCACTCCTCAGGCGCTGAGCACTGGCGGAGCGGCCTGGCCCGGACTGGCACGAGGACGCACGTCCGAGGGGGGTCAAGACCAGGGGTCCTACCTCACGCGCGGGGCGCCCTGCTTCCACCCATATCAGCCCTCAGGACTGACGGGCCCATGTTCCACCACCACTATCATAGGAATCATAGGTAGGAGAGGGAGGAGGAGGAGGAGGAGCAGGAGGAGGAGGAGGAGGAGGAGGAGGTGGAGCTCCCCATCCACCCTTCTCCCTCGTTGCACCTATGGTAGTAGTGGTGGAGCAGTGGCCCATCAAGGACAACTTCATCACCGAACAGATTCCCGTCCACCTGCCCAACCCACGCCAACACACACAGGCACGCATTCCCGTCCACCTGTCCAGCCCACGCCAACACACACACACACACACACACACACACACGCGCGCGCGCGCGCACGCACGCACGACCCGTTCTCCG